GCCAAAGCCAGAGCCAAAGCCAGAGCCAAAGCCAGAGCCAAAGCCAGAGCCAAAGCCAGAGCCAAAGCCAGAGCCAAAGCCAGAGCCAAAGCCAGAGCCAAAGCCAGAGCCAAAGCCAGAGCCAAAGCCAGAGCCAAAGCCAAAGCCAAGTCCCAAGACTCCGGACAAAGGGCCAGAGCTAAATCCTCAACCGCCAAGCCCTGATCCAAGTCCCAAGAGTCCGGAAAAAGGGCCAGAGCCAAATAACCCGAGCCCACCACCTGCAGGGCAACCAGCCAGTCCACCATCACAAACTACCACTACAAAATCTGTTCTGGTATCAGGGGTGGCAACAACTCCAAAGATAATAACAGAAATCGTTTTTGTATCAGGAGTTAACCCAACGTCAAAGACGATTACGCGAACTATATTCGTACCAGTAGTGCAGTCAACGACAAGCTCATCCAAATCTTCGATCCCGCCCGCACAAAAAACCCCCCCGCCAGCCTTAAGCTCAGGAGCCAAAACCGTTGATGTCAACATCGTCCATTTCCAGGACGAAAACGCTAAAATCTTCTTCCAACCCCATATGATCTTGAATTTTGGAAATCCGCCCCAAAAAATTATAGGCATATTCGATACAGGCTCCTCCGACCTGATAATCCCCCAGGCGGGCAGCGCAGTCTGCCTGGTGCCCAACCAGCAGTGCCGAGGATCAAATGTTGTTCTAGGAGATTTTGATGCTTCCAAGGATACAAACTTTCAGCCCCGGAGCAATTCAGGATTTAACGCAGCTTTTGGGGCTGGAGGCACTCTTAGTGGGTCATATATCATGACTACAGTTAGTATTGGAAATGCTGCACTCGGGGGAGTTCAAGTTGGATTGGCGGTAAACGGAAGCATGCCTCGCGATGCATTCCATGTTTCTCGTTTTGGTGTCGGACCTGTGGACTCGGAGCAGACGCAAGAGGCGAACAAGTATGCGAATCTTCCGCAGCACATGAAAGATGTGGGTTTGATTAGCGCCAACATGGTTAGCCTTTCGTTCAATTCTACGCGTGAGTCTATTTAATCTCCAACCGCTAATCCTTTCGAATCTCTCGATAGGTTCACAGTTTGTGTCTTGTCGTAACTAACAAGTTGTATAGCTTTCGCAAACGGATCCGCCACCTTTGGAGGTATCGACCAGACCAAGTTCCAGGGCAAGCTGGAACAAGTTTCCATAGAGGCCGATGACAAAGGCAAAATGTCCCGCTTTGTTGTTAAGATGACCTCCATTAATCTATCAATTGGTGGTGCTGGTCGTCGACGCAGCATCCACTTGGGCAAGCGCGCGACCACGAACTTGGGTCTCGGCCAAAGCAACGGATTCACCGCCATTGATACCAGTGCTCCCTTCATTGCGATCCCTAATGATTCAATTGCGAACTTAGCCAAAGCACTAGGCACATCTTTCTCTGACCAGAGTGGCCTAGGGCTAATCGACTGTGCTCTCGCATCAGGAGATAACAGCTTGATATTTGGATTCAACAACGACAGTACGTTGATCAGCGTACCTCTCAGTCGTATTGTAATCTCGAAAGATGTTTTAACCAAAGAGGATCAGCAAAGTGGCCGGTGCGCACTTTCTATAGCTGCAGCAGGCCCTAAAGATGCGTTAAATGTTATGGGGTATCCGTTTATGACAGCAGTGTATACGGTTTTCGACATGGACAACAAAAGACTGCTGTTTGCAAAAGCAGTATAAAGATTTGGCTGCACTAGATACTTTGCATGATAAGTCTAGGGTATATAAAAATAAATCATAGATTTCACCATAGACGGCTAGATATTTAATATCATATATTATAATCCCGAGCAGTGGGTTTATACTCAAACATACTGGACGTTTTAAGATGCAAGAGCGGAGATCTCAAGCATGTGGCATACTCCATTAAACTATCCCTCTACTTGCATGCGTGAATCTGTCTTCCTTACCTTCTGTCGGTGAAAACTCTGCGCCATGGGTTAATAATCACGTCAGACAATTCAGTGTGAGTTGTGGGAATGCACTGAAGTACGTCGATATTAAATGTTCCGGGATCCGAGGGTAGCCCGCACTGATCCTGTGGGTTGCACATGGCTGTGCAATGATCTAGATCATCGGCTTCAAATGCAATATATTCAAATAAGTCTCTGTCTATCTAAGAAGAAGGAAAACAAGTCAAGGTGGGAGGCTCGATATCGCCGTATAAATATCGTAGCTGAAAGGTGACTGCGTGACGTGCTCAGTGCTTCCTATTGTGCTTGGCGGGGTTCCAACAGATCCTTCCGTTGTTTGACAGGTTGACCCAAACCAAATGGAAAGACCTGCACATGGTCCGAACAATTCACCAGCATAACCTCTTGCTTGCACAGACACAACGCCGTAAAATAGCAAGCTTAAGCATAATACAGACAGCCCTCTCCACCTGTGTTCTTGCTTAGGTATGTAAAAATCCTAACGTGAGTGGCGTTGCGTCGATGGAGATGCTTGTTCTTGGAACCCGAGCGCTTAGCGCAAATTTATCATCGACCGCAAAGTCCGTGGCTAGGTATAATTTATCGTTGACTAAACGGTTGGCACGGTCAACTAAGAGTTCCGGTTTCCTCATCGTTTTAAGCTGTACCAGAAGACTATACTCCTTTTTAACATGTTGCAGAGGATTTAATCATGAGGGACAGCTCGATATGGACCAAAAGGGCAGAAGCGACCCAGTAGACTAACCCGGTCCCTGTTATAGACGAGTACTGACGGATGGCTTCGGTATTAAAGAGTTTTTGCATTTTGCGCCGGAATTTGAGTACCCTTAGGATAGCTGCGTGGGGAAAGAAATCTCTTTCACGAGGGTGATTTTAGTCAGCCTTGAACAGTGTATTCATAGTTAACGTAGCTTCCCTCAGAATGAAAAGAAATCATGCTTTCTTCGTGAAACAATTTTGACACTTTGAGATACTGATTTCGTCGTTAAATGCTTTTTATTACTTGATACTAACTGCTTGAATACATGAACTATCTGATCATATGCAAGTAAGCAAGACCACGAGTTCAATTGCAATACAAGTCAACGCCTTACGATTCTGACTTTTGACCTCTGACCTACGATTTTGACCGACGCATGCAATTGATCCGCACCTTGCGATATCGACAACCTGAATACACGAACCATTTGATCAATTTATACTGAACTGTACCACATGGAGACTTGGGTGTTCGGTGTGTTCTTTTCTTCCTAACAAAGCATCTAATAAACTTGGACAGAACTACTTCATTATTTGAGCTTACTATTTACGAGGTCTCTATAAATTAATATAATTCTCAAGTTAACCCATTAACTAAATAAAGTACATTGCTAGTTATATATCAGACACCAGTATACGCGAGTGGTGAGTGGGTGTTTTGGTTCGCTTTACCCAAAGGCTAATGGCTTCGGAAGGTGTGCCAGGGAACATGGTGTCTCCTTGCAGCATAACCACTAGCCTTGGATTGCCGCGGTTCATGAGAATCACAAAGTCATTCCATGCGGCTGCGTTCTCTGATGGCATCGTTTTCCGCTGAACCTGCAGGATGGTCCAAGCCATGGCGAGTTCGAAAAATAATGGCTTTGTCCGAAGTGTTTCCCAACTTCCACAGCCAAGAGTGTGCCGACTGGTTTGGGTCGGATACGAGTGGCTCAGAAGAAGGGGCAAAGCTTGTTCAAGTGTGGTATGTAGGCGTCAAAGTGTCAACTTTGACTTCATATCCATCCCCCTTGTTGGGTCACGCGCAAACCAGACGAAACTAATATTGACGTCTACGGCATGGAGGTAGCCAGGGAACCCATACAATTTCTTTTGGTGGGCCAACCTGACGATGCCTAACTTTCATGCAAACGTAAAAAGCCACCTAAGCATAAACAGATGTATCGCAAGACACCATATAAAACACCTAGTCTGGGTTAGCACAAGCGCATAGTACAAAATATCTTTTCAAGATAGTTAAACTGGCCACATTCCGATCCACCCAAGCCGACAGAAAAGCTCAAGAACATCACAACAGAGCTCTCAAAGAGCGTAACACCAATGTTATGGATGACAGTGGTCGTATGGAACCAAGCCTTTGCTGCCCACGCAGTTTGACATGAATGCACAATGAGGTGAGTCTAACTCCATAAACTCCAACTCATGGTTCTATTTGGCTGGCCAGGTAGCTATGCCCTATAGAAGGAATAACCAAACATTCTGATAGTGTTTGCCTTCAGAATTGACAATACTAGTGAGGAAGGCATTGACGGAATCCCTCACAGCAGCTTGTGCAGGGCTAAGGCCGGTAGTATCCAGAAGGTCTGGAGTCCAAAAAAATGATGACGGCTCCATCATTGTGATATATATAAATCCAATCCTTTCGTCAATTTCTGCCATCTCCATACTTTCACATTTATTAATTCGCATTCGTTCCATGTCCATCATCAATCCCTTTCCATTTACCATGTCTTGCAGGATGTGCGGATGTACTGATGCAGAAAGCAACCTGGGCCAGCAGTGCGCAACAGATTGAAGTTATCGAATCGGTCAACTGTGTACTAGCTGTCACTTGCTGCAGTGTGCACGGTGCGTGAAGATTGCCCGTTGGCTCGCTGACTGTAAGGTGCGCTCATGCGAGTTTCAATCTAGACGCTTTACATTTGGATGGCTATAACTAGACGACCAGTCGTGCGAGACCCTAGATGCCTGTGTCAAAAGTCCAATAACTCACTACGGAGTACGGAGTACTCCGTACTAAGTGTAGCATTGTATTAACTAGCGGGGCAATACACACACCAATCACCTGCCGTTGTGCAGGGAACCCGGTTTTTTTGTAAAGATATGTGGGCGCAAATAACAATCCACTCTAACCAGATTTAATACCATGGTCGAGTCGTATAAAGGTTAGTACGATCGCTTCACAAGAAGGAAGCGCGATAAATCCGGGTTCGATTCCCGGCTCGACTATTCTTTTTAATCTTGTTTTTGACATGTCCTGTGGTATACTCAGTATGGGGTATACGCAGATTTTTTTCCTCATAATTTTTAAGACAGTCACTCACGTGACAGAACCATCCTATAAGGGAGGTCCTACGGAGTAACGCGGTAGTAGATAAATCGTACTATTGTGATCATCCCCATGTTTACCTACTCCGTACGGAGTATGCTTTATGACTTTTTATTACCTATCCTAATTCGACAATCCACGTGCAGAATCTAGCATCTCACTAGACGAACCCAGCACGTAATAATCGGATAGCGTGTGCTCGGCTGAAGTTTACCTGCACGTGACCCTAGATACTCACCAGGATAGCCTCTTGCTTGCGCACGCATGACACAGTTTGAAAAAAGCTTAAGAACATTAAAAAAATCCTAATAAGAGTAGCGGCATGTGGGTGGAGATGCTCGATCTTGAACCCGACGAGCTGGGATGCACCAAAGCCACCGGCCCCGCTACATGCTTCTCGAGCGGGCTATTGTACCAGTGGCTTCGCATGGGCAGATAACCATTATTAGCTGGCGAATGGTCCAGACTACCTTCGCATGGCCCTTCTCCATAATTAAGTCAGTGGAAAACGTATATTTGGCAGCTACGCGTCATACTGTCGTATACATTGTCATTTGTAGCCCAATGTTTTGCTCATTGACGCATAAAGAACTCGGGGCACGCCACTGTCACAAGTACAAGAACATCGCTTGGCTTTTTGGCAGCGTGCCTCAACAATGGCACTTCCCAGGCTCAATCAACATTCCGTAACACGCCAAGAGATTGATTGACAAAGATATTGTTGGCGGTAAAAGCTTGTTATGTGGGAAAGGGCTGCATCCGACGTGCCGAACTGCCGGGGCTGATCGTGCTGGGTGCAGTAGTTGCTCTAGTTCCATGCAGCGCAGGACTTGTAGAACCAATCACGTGGCTCGCCCCAGCGCCTCCTCGCTTCCAGTCGAAGTAATTAGCCCGCCTTTCATGCTGCTTTGTGTGAGAATCACATTCTTTAAATCTGTCAAAAATAGGTTGATATATTTGCCCACTCCGTCAGCCGCAATTGTGGCACGGTCAAGACGCAGCCATGGAAGGTAAGAACCTGTTTCTTCTGCCCTGACGGCGTCCCTGTCGGAGGCTTATTGGGTCAAACAGATGCAGCGATATCAATACTCAGAAAAAGAAAGCCACATCAATAGTTTTATCATCTATTGGGCCAAATATGCTTTGGTACTGGCTTTTGTCTTGAGTCAATCCATCCTTGGACGTGCTGCGAGGTGGCGTATATAAGCTGTATGCACCCCCTTGCCGCGCTGACATGTCAAGTCTCAATCACCCCAACTATCTTGACTATCTCAGCTCGCAAACATGAACAAACTCATTCAAATCTTGTTTTTCTTTGGTGCCGTCTTGGTCGCTGCCAACGAGGACTGCGTTCCTGACTGGCGCGCCAGGCAAATCGTCCCAGAATTCCAGAAGCTGTTCTCAGATGGCAATGTTGATCGCGTCAAAGATACAGTTACGTCGGACTTCACAATCTATTCAGACAGCCAGGAGTTCACCACTCCGGGAATTACTCCGGTAATGTGTTTCACTTCACATTGCTGCGGATATTGTTTAACACTTGTGTTCAGGTTTCTGGAGCCGCCGTCGTGAAAGGCCGCGCTGCCTTCATGACGGCCAATCCGCCTCACCCCGGCGCTAAGAATGCTTTCGTCACTCTTGATACATTCCATAGCTGCAGAAAAATCGTCTTTCGCTGGGTTGTCCCTGGCGGGTTTGGTGGCAAATACCAAATCCGAGGTATTGATGTTCTGGAGTTGACGCAAGAGCATGGCCAATGGAAAATCAAGACCGACTACTCCGAGTACAATAACGTGGGATTCTTGGCAGGAATTGGAGTCTGTACAATCTGTTAAGTGCACGTTTGGTTCATTTGCGCGCCATGGTAGCGCACTACGTGGTTTTGCAGGGAAGGTCAAGATGGCTCTGATGCGCTCAGTTTCATGCATGCAACTGTTTTCAGCGCCGTAGTAGGCAAAGAATACAATTCGAAAATCTATTGGAACTGATTTGACACTAAGTATGGAGAATACCAGTTACGTACTTTGTCGAGCCAAAGCACACACCCACAACTCACGTATACTAACTAGTGTCTGACACACAACCAGCAGCGCAACTTAAATTCTGTGAAAGCTTCTGGCTAAGACCTTAGATAATTCGTAGAGACCTCGCTCGAGATGAGATCAAATAGTCTGATAGCTTGCCCGAAAATTATTGAGCTATTGTGCACTTCAATAAAACAATTTAATCACAATAGGCACTAGACCAGGCTCCAGACAAGGACGCAATTCTTGCACACATGGGGGACTTCTTGTTTCCATTCTTGCTACTGCAGCAAGCGGGGATAAGCCCCATTTCTTATAGCTACATCAATTGATCTGACTGCGACTGCACGCTGCACGCCGTCATAACTATAGTCGCCGATCAACAACTCCTCCTTGGTTACAGCCGGATTGGTGGGTTTCCCGTTCAGCACGTTCCATTTCGCGTTCGCCCGGCGATACTGTGCCTGATAGAGCAGCGCGACTGCACGCTGCACATCGTCGTAGCTAACGTCCGCCAATCAGCGACCCCTCCTTGCTTACAGGGACCGCCTGCGAAGGTTAGCGGTGCGGGTGTGCTCCCCAGTCCCCAGAGTTGCAATGAAGAATTTGCAGTTTCACCTGTGTGGTAGTCAAGATGAGATGAGGTGGATTAAAATCGGCGCTGAGTAGAACCGGCATCATGGTAGCATTTGTCAAACCCTTCTTTTATCGTGGTAGTAATCTCGACAAACTGTGGCCTTCCTCCTGATTTTGCTTTGTCCTGGAGCGTCCTTTGCTTTGTTGCGTTTTGTTGCAGACAGTGGTGTTCCTGATTGATCTATGTGATGCACCGACATAACCTGAAACTAGCTCCACTTTGTTTGAATAACTGCAATAGACAGTACTGACTAATTATCTTAGCTGGATGAAGTTCATCTAGCTGGTCTTCCTACCCCTCCTCTTGGCTAGCGGATTTCGGCTCTAAATGCCGAATGTTAGGGCCGTTCGGTAACAGACATTGAAGTTGGTTGATGTGTTGATGTGTTGATGTGTTTGATGAATTGGATGAGTTGATGTAACGATATCACATGCTTCCGTTCGAAGCAGCAGATGTGACGATGTCACTCATGCTTTTGCTCGAAGAAGCAGAGATGTGACGATGTCACGCATGCTTTGTTCGAAGAAGCAGAGATGAGACGATGTCACGCATGCTTTCGCTCGAAGAAGCAGAGATGTGACGATGTCACGCATGCTTTGTTCGAAGAAGCAGAGATGAGACGATGTCACTCATGCTTTGTTCGAAGAAGCATGTCACGCATGTTTTAGCTCGATGCAGCTGGGTCCAACCAAAATTGAATCATGCCGTTGAACTTATTGCGTAGAATCGCGTGTATAAGTTGAGAAAGCATATCGGACGAGAGTGTATCGGCCGAGAGCATATGGGTCGCTCTTTTCTGGCCTTGGAATCATGCTTGCAGGTTTAGAAGGGTCGCTTCATTTCCGGCCTTGATTTCCCTGGTTGATCGGGTTTACTTGGCCCTGATTCTAGCCAGCGGCCACCATGGGACAGGGACGTGTACTATCCTCAGTTCCTCGTTGAACGCGAGTATTGTTCTAATGGGACAGGGACGCGTATATCCTCACTTCTTTGGCTGGATGCGAGTATGGTTCCAATAGGACAGGGACGTGTATATCCTCACTTCCTTGGCTGAATGCGAGTATGGTTCCAATGGGACAGGGACGTGTATGTCCTTAGTTCCTTTGCTGAATGCGAGTTTTGTTCCATGGTATTCTCTGGATGATGGCCTCTGTTAGTGGAATAGTCTCACCAAGTGGCACGTTACACCGATATAATGATCTGAACATGGTGCAATCGGTGCGCTTGACGAGTCGCTATTTCCATCGGGGCGATATGTGTGGTCCGTTGTCTCTTGTGGGATTGAGAGTTTGCAGAGTCTGTTGTACGGACGGAAGGGGGGCCGGGGAGGTATTTATAGGTAAAATGGGCGATCCCAGATCAGTGCAATTGATTCAGCACTGTAAACCTGGCAGGCCATGGCTCGTTGTTCATAATCGTCGTGAAGCACGGCCTTTGTCTCGCCAGCATCACCAGCTTTGTTGCAGCACCCGCCCTGGTCTCTCGCTGAATCTCTACTACGTCATCGATAATGGAAGCCCGCCGGTATGGTGATCACTTAATGTTATAGTCAATCAGCTTAGCAAAGCTGAAAGCGCGGCATCGGAATGATATGCGGACAACAGGGTTCACTCGCAAACAGTCATGCGGATTAGGGCGGCATGCGCCACGAACAGTATGAATACTGTTGAGTGAAACACCTCAAAGATGTGTTGAAGTGATTCACACTCTTTAGGGCAGCCTCACAAGCCCACAAAGCCTTTTGTTTTCTTCATTTCGTAGGACCTAGCTTTTTAGATAGTTCATCATCATCATTGATCATCTTCCATTTCATCCCAACAAATCCGATCCAGGGTGTTCTTGGTTAATCCTATATCGTTAATCGGCCTTCTTTGTCATTAGTGCCCGTCTAGAATATAAAGATGCCACATTCATGTTATCAAGCCGCTAGCGAGCCTGTAGCCCGCCTGGCCGGGACGCCTGGCATTCTCTCCCGTGATATGAACAAAGGACAACAAAGGTTTAAACAAATTAGGAGCCCTTTCTTGTACATTTCGAGAAGCATTTAAATACAATTTTGGATCTCGTAATAACAAAAAATGAAATGCGTTTCCTCTCTATCAGGATGCTTCTTGAGTCATGTTAAGCTGGTACAGTTCAAGTCAACACTTGGGTCCCTTTCCTATATCCTCGTTTGGAATGTGTGCTTTGAGTCGACAAAAGAGCACAAAGATATTCTTCAGACAACGACAGAAGGAAA